TGTGTGTCTTCTGCCTTTGTTTCAGGTATGGACAAACGATATATATAAATCACCAGTGCACAGGGTTTTGGCAAACAAGCTTTCAGCTCGGTACTCCACACCATACTTCTTCAACCCAGCCTATGAGACCTTCTGTGCCCCGATCGAGGCCTGCGTGAAGCCGGGAACAGAGCCAGCTTATCAGCCAGTGAGTTGGGCTCAATACAGGTTGAAGAGGTATGAGGGAGATGTGTCTGACAGAGGGGAGGAGGTGCAGATTGCACAGTATGTTAAGGGTTAACCAGCGAAAGCGGGAAGGATCCCGTACTGTGTTCCATGTTAGGAGTCAACTAGGCAAACTGTGTACTAAGGATTATGCAACGTGTTACAACATACTGGACGGGAAGTTAGGAGAGAGAGAGTGGGAACGATTCCACACTACGCTACGAGTTAAGTAGAGAAAGAGGGAAGGAGGTGCAGAGTGCACGCTAATCTGCAGACTGTGTTAGAACTTAGAAGTTATTAGGAAAAGAGATGCAAGGAATGGCACAATGTGATGTCTTTCCTTGTTGACCCACCAGTTTGCTGCCAGTCTGCTGGCGCATGCAGAGGGCGCGTTTTATTGGTACCTGTGTGCGTGCGCTGTGTCCAGTATGTTAATAATATAAAAACCCGTGGAGGCAGACAGGGGTGTCACTCGAGATGGTGCTTTGAGGGGTGCTGGGATAAAAGAGAGAAGGTGGTGACGAGGTTGGGTGCTCGCAATTAAGTTAGCAGGGGGAAGGAGGGGAGGGGGGGGCGAGGGGTGGGGGGGGAGCGGGAGGGAGAACTCCAGTTGTGATGCAACCGCGGTCAGGTGTTGGTTAGCGTCCAGGTCAGCCTGATTATAGACTACATATGACTGTAGCTCAGGCGGGGTGTAGACAGGTGTAGACAATTCGAAGAAACTAACGTCGCATGAACCTCTGTTGCAATCCAGGTCAGGCTCATTGCAGACCACCATATAAGTAAACTCAGACGTACTAAAAGGGTGGCCACAAGGTGCAGTGTCTACATAGACAGCTACTCGCAGCCTAGCATGAGCCTCTGCAGAAGACCAGTTAAGGTGAACTGAGGTCATTGCGGAGGATGTATGATTGTTTTCTTTTTTTCTTAAAAAAGAAAAAAGAAAATAAAAAGATGCATACATCTAGGCCCATCAGGGTTCAAACTTGGGTCTGTATTTCAACAGTTTTCATGGGGGTAGCAACAGAGTCAAAAACTTGGGTCTGACTCTGCATACATCTAGGCCCATCAAAGTTGCCCTGGTCTGAGTCAAAAACTGCTTTATTGTTTGTTTGTTTTTTCTCCTTTTTCTTTTCTCCTCTTTTCCTATCATGCGCAAAATGAAGATGTAAAAATAAAAAAGGAGGAACATCAGAAAGAAGGAAAACGGACATGCAGTCTGAGGTGGCTCGTTGATGGTGCCACCTATGGATGGGACTCTGGGGCTGGGGGACTGTGGGACTCTGAGACTGGGGACTAGGGGAATGTGGGCCTCTGGGACTCATAGAGTAGGGGAATGTGGGTTTCTGGGACATGGCAAGTTCACATGTGTACCAGGAGTCTGGGAAATGGGAACCTCGCGGTTTTCAATGATTATGTGGAAAATAAACGAGTTGTTATGAACCCAATTCGGAGGAGCTGGCACAATAAATATGAAATATCATGAATGAAATTCACAATGCTCAGTGAATGACTATCACAAAAGAGGTAGCAAAGTAGACCAACGTTAAGACAAAGGGAAGGAGAAGAGTTGGACAAGGAAGCAAAGCTTTTGTTCCTCCACTCAGGGCAACATCAACAGGTAAAACTAGGTAAGCCTCTCTCTCTCTCTCTCTCTCTCTCTCTCTCTCTCTCTCTCTCTCTCTCTCTCTCTCTCTCTCTCTCTCTCTCTCTC